ATTAGTCTTTGCAACTTTACAGATCTTCGTTATGCACCAAGAGCTTGTAACACTCCAAAGAGAAAGGAAAAATTGAAATCGCATCATATGACCCCTTTAAGGGGAGGTGCTTGCAGGAGACATGCTCTGCTAGACAATGAATGAATCTGCTCTGTACTACTGTGCTCTGACGCCCACTGTGACAGGAAAACACTACACACCATACAAAAACCTGACTGACTCTTAAAATGAGAAGTTGCCAAAAACAACAGGATCCATACAAATGAATATGTCAGTTAGATTCTGATGTTTTAAATTCATATTTAAGTATACATTTTCTGTCTGGTTAGTATTTCTGTACCTTTATGTACATGCATTGATTTAGTGAATATTCATACTTTAGTGAGTATTGAATGAGACAATTTAAATAAACACTGATGGCATATCAAATTTATATTTCTAAAGGTGTCATCATTTTTGAAAAATATAGCAATAAATAAAGTCAAAATTTATAAGCCATCATATTTTTTAGATTCACAAATGTTTTATCCTAATTAGAATTTTGGATGTTGTCAGTGGGGAATACATTTTATACCACCACTGGGGGGTGCTGTGTACATTTCAGAGAGGATGCCCGACTGAAAGACAGTGGAGGCTTGTTACCAATGCAAGATAAAGCAAATGATAAATAACCAGTGGAGAAACATCACAGACGATTATGCTTAAACATCAGAAGAAGCAGAAATCATGATCACGATTAAAATACAGATCACTGTGCAGCCTTACACAAGACTACAAATATAATGCTACAAGCACAAACTTCACTATCAAATACTGAATATTCTAACGCCAATAAATAGCCTCTATTTTGTTTTTTTTATAGTAATATATATTCATAAAACTGATCAAACTAAATTAGTGGATGAAGATACTTACTCAACTGTTACTCAACAAGTAATTTTGGTTTTAATAATTATTTTTAAGATATTAGTACAATGAAGGCACAATCATTTCAGCTTTTAATAAGGAAAGACACAGAAGGAGGTCTACATAAACCACACCCACACTGCAACATCACAACAAGATACTACAATCATACAATTACCTTTACTTCATTCCATAAAGCAAGTTAGTAAACCTTCCCAACATGGAGAGATGCTTTCTACTGATTCTAATATTCACACCAGGTATAAAACATGTAATCTGAGCAGACTCAAATGTAATTAACAAATGTTTTGGCCATGCAAACTTTTTGTAATGTTACTCTATTACAGTAACGACATAATTTTTGAAGAAACAGTTTTTATTATTGTCAGTTTAATTTTAAATGTGATGAATTTTCGGACAATCCAACTGACCTGTTATGAAATCTCTCCAATTCTCTTGCAGGCATTTTATCTGACAGCATTCAACCAAAAGACAAAGAAACTACTATTTACAGAACAGAAGAAGAGCGTGTAACGCTGAGCTGTTCATATGATACCAGCAGCAGTTATGTCTATCTCTACTGGTACAGACAGTATCCTAACAGAGAACCAGAATATTTACTGTATAAAGGTGCCCGATCACGGATCGGTTATGGGGATATACCAGATCGGTTTCAGTCGACTGCATCTGAATCATCCACTGAACTCACTATTAAGAGTGTAACTCTGTCAGATTCAGCTCTCTATTATTGTGCTCTAAGAGTAGGAGCCCAGTGATACAAAATGCCTGAGAAGCTTTACAAAAACTCACATCTAGTTTTTAATTAAAAAATTAACCACAATCATATCTTGTGTAAAACCACAACATGCACTTCTTTCACAATACGATACTGTAACACCTGCTGGAAGAAAGGGAAATGTGTGCTTAGGGGGAAACTATACAGGAAGATGATAATTCATTGTTTTTGTCATGCTATAATAAATCTTACTATTAAAGAACCTCTACAAAACTAGTTTACCATGGGGAAAAAACACTTTTTTTAGGTCAGCACATAAGTCTACACTGACTAGAGACCAAAATACAGAACATCAAACGTTTCCATGACAGGCTATTAGTGGAGTAGAACTCCTGACCTGCGTGTTCATATCTGTCTTATCTAGGCTTCAAATGCTATTTCATCTATTATAGACTGCAGATATGAAGGGGAGGAGTAAATCTGAGACCACCTCCTGTACCTGACAAGGAATGAATGATTTGTTGAACAACAGTTTGTGCTGAATACAGCATCGTGCAAAATGATGCTCTGCTTGCAAGTTTTGCTTTGTTGTCTTGTGTGTATGTATTCCTGATTGAATATACCGAATTATTGTTATTATTATTTTTTTTAACTAACAACTAAAGTTTTATGATGTTTCAATACATTTTACATTATTTTGCATGAATTTTGATTCTTGCAGGTGGCACTTTTGC